CAGCACTACAAGAGGCCTTTCCTGGAATGTCTTGGTGATCTGTCCAGATGCTCACATTGGAGGGTGGCAAACATGCTTCTGAAGGCTCTTTTGTCTTGGTGCATAAGATTTTTGCTAATCTATATTTTGTGACTGTTGAAGTGGCCTGATAGACCTAGAATCATTACCTTCAGATTCTTAGTCATGATGGCCTTGTGCAGGCAAGCATTGGCTATATACAGTCAATCTGGACCCAGGTGGACACAGGCTGCTTCCACATTGAAGTCCAACATTGCTCTCATGGAACCATTCACCCTGTCCATATGAAGGTGACTTTTCAATGAGAGCACATGGTGTCATGTTTGAAATCACCTCAGAATCCCTCTCAAATCCAGTGCCTTAGTGTCTGAGGGGTGGTGGCCCAAGGGCTCAAGCCCACCCTTGTTACTCATGTCCATTCAATACAAGTCACTGATCCATGTTCCTCATGATGTCAGCTCATGAACATCAGTATGATTGTGAACTGTGCAGTAATACACAGGCATACAGTACACACCTTTCAGTGCATGGTGCATTGAGTTAAAGAAAAGGAAGTTACATTGCATAAAGGGAAGGCTCATGTGCTGGCTCTGGGTAAAAAACAAGAACAATCAGAGAACTAAAAAAGTTCTTTGTCTGCTCTTGTCAACAAGTCACCTTGATATGGACAGGGTGATTTATGCTTTCTATTCCATGAGAGAGCTTTCAACTACTGGAGTCATTGGATGGCACCTTCCAAAGGTAAGTCCTCACTTGTCCCTTTGGCACAAGTTTACCAAGGCTAATTTGGTGAATTGTGTTCATTCAATTCAGGACATTGAAGTCATCTTTAATGTACAACATAACTGCCATGATGCACAGTGTCCTGTCAAGGTCACTCACAAGAAGCCTGTGGAGCATCAAATAACCATGATTCATGGTCCTGAGGTGGCCCACAAATCCCTCAACTCTTTCATACTGAATTCTGCTGCCTTACACTTGCCAGATGTCCTTCAACACTGGGCTTCCTTGCCCAACATCCCAGTAGTCCCTGGTGATTGGAATGACACAGTCACCCAGGGTCTTTCAAACTGGAAAAGCTGCCTTTCAAAACAAGCTGAAGACAAACAAAAATGAGCAGACAGACAGGCTAAGAAAAAGGATGCCCTGGAGAATGAAACCCCTGAAGCCAAACCCACAAGGTTTGCCCAAAAAAGGAAACCAACCAGCCAAAACACCCAGGTGGCAAAATCTCAGATGCTGTCATCTCAGCCAGTCTCTTCCCAGAAAGACACTGAGACAATGATTGGTGTTACTTCTGATTCTGGAATTGGTGAACCCAGTGGATTCAATCATCCAATGGATTATTTGGATCCACTTGATCAAATGAGAGAGCTCTTGTTTATTCTTTGCAATGTTTCTTGTTTTCTTTTTTTAAATCAGCTTTATGTATTTCTTTCTCTTGCCTTCATGATACTTTTGTAACCAATTTGAAAAATCATAAACGCTGAGTGGTCTAATCTTGCAGATAGGTTGGCCACTTATGAAAAACATATCATTGAATCTATCTCTGAAACTGTTGCTAAAATTTTAGATAAGGGAATAAGTACATTTCTCATGTACCAGGACAATAATTGACATCATGTATTTGAAAAATAATTAAACCAGAGGTGAAAGTCCAGTTGAATGGATCAATCACAATACATATGAGCCGTGTATATACATAGATATATTTATTTTTACTCTCTTTATCCTAACTACTTCCAACCCACCCTTTTTACCAAAAAAAAAAAAAAAAAAAAAAAAAAAAAAAAAAAAAAAAAAAACGCAGGTTAAGTCAGAACATTATATATGAATAAAGTAAGAAAATCTAAACATTTAACTTACATTTTTTCTTATACCAAAACAAGAGGTGAATGTAGTTGGAGGGCTGGCGCGACAAGACAACCAAGGTTTACTTTGCATAATTGGGTGGAAGTGGTCGAGACCACTCGCA